AACTACTAATTCTGATTCCGGACGTGAAATGACATAACAAATTTTATTAGGTAGTTATTGTTGCCCAATGAGAGACGGATTGACATGGTTCTGTTTCAGTTACGTTCCCGTTTTGGGCGCTTGTACTTAATCGTTTTCTGACACCCGAGAACGTAACGCAAACGAAATTAGAACATCACGTTACGTTCCCGTTATGTACGCAAACTAGCAGCGTAAACTTATTGCAAATTTGCGCAATTTGGGCCCAGTTTGTTCTTACAAGTTTTCTAAGTTTCATTTATCATTATTTAGTAAACAGACCTATGAAACGATTTAATATTTCTGTAAAATACGTGCCAACCGACGACTGACTTCGAAACGTTCGAAATTTCGAACAAACTCCCGGCACACCTTGCGCGATATGCGTCAGATCGGTGTAGAAGACGCCGACCTGCAGCGTCAATGATTTTACACGCGTTGTATACGTCGCTACGAGTCCCATATCGAACAGGACGCGGCGCGACGACCACCGCTCTTTTATGAGAATTTTGAAATGTATAATAACAATACATGTGATTATTTCGGTGAAGTAAACGCTTTTAATTAGCGCAACATAATTCGTCTAGCTGGTTCAACTCCAGCGGTATTGGCAATATTAGAAAAAAAAATACCCAGCTGAGAACACGTGTAATTTGTAATAATGTTGTTTGACGTTGTATGTTATTGAACATTGGACTATGATTTATTCATATTTTGAAACGCAAGTCTGAGTTTGTGCTCGTTATTTTGATAGGTAGGATAATAATCACTGCTCACACGTGGGATTTTTCATTTTGACGAATACTATTGTGTGTCCTGCAAACATGTTTTATTCATACTAATCATAATCCGATTAGGTCTACAGTATGGAATATCAAACAACTATATTAAAAAAAATAAGTTTTCGTCCATATTGCATCTTACATGTATCAGCCCGCCATATAAAACCAGCTGTTTTTTTTTTGCTAAAAATTCATTCCACTCACAAACCGATCAGAAGTCTTACATATTCTGGTATCGCATTAATATATATAAATAAAACAGTTTGAAGAAAAACCATGATATCTCTTGCAGAAAATAATATAAAGTCCTTGATGTGAACCATCCAGAAATTTTGGTATTCAAACTTGACATTTATAAAGGTATATAACTATTTTGGACAAATTGTACAATCAATAAATGCGTTTAAAGGGCAGTGGTCGTCGCGCCACGCATGCGCGAGATATATGGGTTTCTTATAAACAAAGATGGCGACTTTGACCGTTGCACAGATCAACGAGCACTAAGTAGGACGTTCAAGTTCCAAGCTTTAATTAGGCATTTTTAGGTGATTGGAAAGTTTCAAAGGAGTCACCGGCGGTATTCAGTGCAAGTCGCGCCCAGGTCAAAACCTCATACTTGTGATTTCCCTTTGAAGAGCGCATTGGATTGTAGGGAAATCAATGTTTATCAACGCAAATGTCGCACATGCGCAGCGCGAAGACCACCGCGCTTTAAGAAGGACGTAAACCTGTAAATTCAGTTGATTACCGTTAACTAGTATATCTTAGGTGTAACAAATCGTCATTCAAGTCTTTTCAGTTTTTGTGAAACAGTGTCCGAACTATTGTTTATTTCGAAAATCCCACTGTTAGTCGAAAGGCCCGTAATATTATTTCAATTCTAATTATAATGCACGTGGAAGTATGGACTGATTAGTTTTGGGAACAGAATTTCCATTTGATGCTGAAGTAATAGTACCAATGATTTGTCAAAGTTTTGACAGAAAACAAAATCGTTTGTTTTGTTTTTCTCCATCAAACCACGGTTAGTAACCGTGGTCAAACTAATGCATGTACCACGGAAATTAGAGGCTGGTAGTCGTCGTGCTGCGCATGTGCGAAATTTGTGTTGATAAATATTGATCTTCTCACGATCCAATGCGCTCTTCTAATGGAAATCACAAGTGTGAGGTTTGACCCGGGTGCGACATGCATTAATACCGCCGGTGACTTATTCCATACCTTCCAATCACCTAAAAATACCTAATTAAAGCTTGGTAACGTCTCAGTTTATAGTCGTTGATCTGCGCAACAGCCAAAGTCGCCATCTTTGTCTATATGAGATCCATATATCTCGCACATGCGTGGCGCGACGACTACCGCCCTTTAAAGTTTTCAGCAGTTGTTTTTTCATGGTTGTTTCAAACTTTTATCATGGGTATATTACCCACCATGCCGTCACACACATATGTACACTCCTTAATGTTGTTATGACAACAGACAATTTAGGTAAAGTCCCATTGTTTAGGATTTGCTGTTGACTGGCTAAATCTTAAATGAAGGGCAACTGGATTTGATAAGACGGTGTGTGTAAGCGTTCGAAGAGGATAAATAAATAATAAATAAATATGGTGTGTGATAATTATTCCAATTCGAAGTGTATATTTATGTTTCTAAAATACAGACTGTGACAGCTGGGAACAATAAGATTTATCTGGAAATCTCGCTGTACACATGCTTTTATGTATTGTTCAGGAAGAATATTGACAACTGAGCGATGTTGTCCCTCGACAACCGTCTGCTACCTCCCAAAGTAGAATGGTAGCGACCGAAGCCATTTTGAATGGTACTTTCACAATCAGCGCTATGGATGACCAGTTTCTTGCGGCGAGATAACCATGCGGCTGTTCCGTAAATTTCGACTGAAAAACAACAAATCTTGTTTTTATTCAATAATATTTCTTGCCACGCTGAGTGCTGGGATTTTGATTATTCTGAGTTATAATAATGGAGAGGAAAAGCTGCAACATCGTCGTCCGTAAGTGCTCACTGTTTTATGTTTACCTTTACATTTTTAACTTGACGATGAGAAAGGTTGAAAAGGTGGAGTAGGTGTAGGTAGGTGTAAGTCGGGGTGGGTCGGGGTGGGTCCCGGTAGGTGTATAGGGCGGGGAGGGGTGAATTCTGGGGAAGTGAAGTCAAGCAACTCAATTACTAAATTATGTCAAATTAGGCTGAAAGCGCTAGTGACCTCTGGCTCATGGTCGCGGTCGTCTTAAACTTCAGATGTAGTGCGTACATGTGTGTATTGTATGTTATTACAGGCAGCTGTACGACCTGGCTTGTTGGTGCAGCACGTCCTGTCTCACTTCTAAGTCACTGTTTTCAGTTTATGTTTATGCAAGATATTATTTATGAGATCTTGAACTTGGCCGTATTTTCATTGGGCAGAATTTGGCATTAAGGTGTATTTTTAAAAGGACACGAAGGAAAGCTTCTAGGACAATGATGGTATTTGTCTTTGACGTTTCTGTGAAGCCCACAGAAAATTATAATTATGTAACTTAGGTGTGATTAGATAAGATATGCCTTAGCCACGTCCTGACATAAGTCGTTTTCACTTCTGATGCAGTGTTTCCCGACTGCGGCCGTATTTTCACGAGTTATATGAAGAAAAAAAGAGCATGGATACACTGGATTGTGAGTGAAAATAATTTGTATATCCCACACAATTGCAGGGCGAGGCAATGGCATTTTGTTATTGTTATTATGTTCCCATATTTGGTAAAAAGCGCCAGGAAAGTCATATATATAACTACGGTACGTCATCCAAGCTGTTAATTAAAGTGCCGTGGTCGTCATGCAGCACGTGTTCGAATTTCATGTAAACAAACATTATATTCTACACGCGTTGTGTATGTTGCTATGAGTCCCATATCGAACAGGACGCGGCTCGACTCAACAACCACCGCCCTTTAATACCAGTGCGCACAAGGGCAATGGCCTTTCAAAATTTTGTCCAATGATTGATTAATCTGATGTTTCATTCTATTCATATGCAAATGTAGGTGGACACATGCTCATTGCAGTGTTTGCGGTTGTGCAAGCGATAAAAAAGCTGACCAATATAAATGTAATTGTCATATGCGACAGACTAATAAAATACATATATAATTAGCCATCATCAGAACAAATTGGTAAAAAACAAATGTGTATAGAAATAAGCATTGGAATACCCAAAAAATACTTTTGAATTCTACACGATGTTTTGATGTCACTGCAATGCTATGATATTTGTTTATCCTGTTTTTACGTTCGATTTCACATGTATAATCTTGTACAGAATGAAAAGTAATACATAATTATTTTTCATTGTGGCCTTACCATATTTATTTAATCCTGTAATTCAGTCTGATATCCTACGGTGTCTTAAACATATGTTAGGCTTCCATAAGATTTATGTTTGCCAACATATATATTACAAATTTCAATGAGGAAGCCGCAAAAATTATTTAACAAGGAGAGAAGATCTGTTTTACCAAACGCTGTATTATATGAGAACCTGTCTTAAACTCTATACTTTAGGCAGGTTTTCCTGTTCCTGTTTTCAGATCATTTTCAGTTGTCGCCATAGCAACAAATAGCTAAAGTATGTCTATATTCCATGACAATTAGACCACATTTATTATAATTTCAAAGGCATTTTATCAAATTCTGAATATTTAATAGATAGTTGATGCATTTACAACATACATATGTAATTGACGAATCCACTTGTATGCAGGAAAATTTCAATGTGTATCTGCATGCCCTGGTATTGACGGTTTGTAGTCTGCATTTACATGTATGGCATCAAAGTTGAAGTGTGGTGGTAGCGTATCATGTGCTTGACTTAAAATAAAATGTATTTTCCATGCATTATACATGTCTTCTCATCAAACACCACGTAACGTGATCATTGTGAGGGAATTGTGAGGGAAACTATAGGAATTGCCGTAATTGGATTACACCTGAGATATCTACTACTATCTGATGGAAAGACTAATTGAGAGGATCACTATGAGTTTATCATGCTTCTATTTACCGGGTATACACTAGCTGTTAAATGATGCATATGTTGTGATGGTTGGGCAGATTCTGTTGAACCATTAAATATTTGTGTGTTTTTAATTTTGTGATTGTCGCGAACAAGCTAAAATCAAGAAACTAAGAATAAAACACAAATATTTCATGTTGCCCAAGTCCAGAGACGTTTAAATATTCCACTTAGATTTCACCACAACAATAAAGAGAATTGTAAAACATTGGATATTTTGACAACGTGCCAGACATTTTTTTTTTAACAAACTTACAGTTAGTGATAGTTAATTAATTACACATTATTTATGAGATAGTTAATGAATAATTAGGCATTATTTGTGGCAGAATATCTATCGGAAAAAGAAAACAAAATTTAATTGCGTGCAAAACAAAAATTGGTGGTATTGTTTTGATCATAGTGCAACAGTTTATTCATTTTTGAGACAAATTATTCTTTGTTTCAATTATGACTAGTCTGATGTGCAATGCTGAATATAAAACCCCTGAAGTTATGGTAACACATCGTCTAATGACGTCATTTTTTTCCACTCATTTTTGTTGTCTGTTGGCTTTTCAACAAGCAATGTGATATTTTTTTTTACTCGCATACAAAGTTTCAAGAATTCAATATAATATACAGTTTTAACTGCAGGGGTGGAATATATGATGTTTTATATATTAAATTCTGCATGCTTAAAGGGTGGTGGACGTCATGTGGCGTATGTTTGATTTTCATGTAAACAAACAATGCATTTCGCTTGTGTAGCGCATGTCGCTTTGAGACGCATACCGAGCAGCATGCATCACAATGACCTTTAATTATTCGCTCGGTTTTAATTTCACTATTAATGATAATGAGAGAAATCTGTCTAATTAATTATAAAATATGATAGAAATTTAGTTCAAAACCCAATAAATATGATCAAAATGTCAAAATAGTTGAATAAAAAAAATATTAAAAATTCTTCATTTATATTTTCTTAACTTGTCTCTCAGGAATATTTCATTTGAGTAATTGTCCTTCATACGAGGGAGGGGAATTTGGGGAGCCTTAATTTCCATTCCTTGTCTGAATGACAATACTCTAAAATGACAAAAAAAGATGTCGCTAATTACAATTTCGCCTTGCAAGCACTGTGCTGTGCTGACCGCCTCTGGACATTTACCCCTAGCTAGCTTTTCTGTTGCAGATGTCATAACAATACTATCTGATAAAAATAAAATCTTAGATTAGGCTTTTGCTATTTTATTTATTCTATTATATTTATTTATATTGTATTTTCTCTATTGAAAAATTCAATAGAAGGCATATAAACCAAAAAATACATTGGTATTTACAGAATCATTTTAATATTACTCATTTTGATCATAGTAAATCTCTAATTCATGTAAATGCATGAGATTCTAATACGGCAAATAAAAAAATGTATTTTAATCACATTGATAACAATGATGCATATATACAGTTAAAATGCAATCAGTAAAATTCATATTTATATAATTTATAATTGGGACCTTCATATTTTATTCGTTTTTTTTTTCAAATATCGAAAGTCATTTAAGTCAATTAGTCTACTGCATTGTACTTTGCTCATTTGAATATCAGCATCCTATTTGTCGTTCAAAATAAACTAGAGATGTATGTAAAGCACATTATAGATGCATAATTTCAAAAATGTTGAAAATAATATGTCTTATTTAGAGCAGAAAACCCTGCTTGACCCCATGGTCATCTATATTGATCTTTCAAGTTCATTCTTAGAACATATCGCTTTTGGAATCATTCACCATCAAATTTTCATTCTGCGTAACACTAGATTCATTAAATGGTTTATTTTGGTAAGCTCATGATTGAATTTTCGGTCTTAGCAGTCCCTCCAAAAAATTGGTTAAAATTAAAATAATACAAGCAAATTGGAGAAAACATAAGAAATTAGCAGAATTGATACACAATTAGCATATGAGATGTGTGTAATGGTACTGTGAAATACTTTATTTTAGCTGGAATTAATTTTCACTAAAAAGGCATTTTAGGTGTTTTGTATGGAATTTATTAATTTATTTTCACTGATTTTTGACGAGTTGAATGTGAAATATACAGAAAAAGTATATTCGCTGGATTTTATTTTCACGGAATTATCCTTTCAGTGAAAATAGCGAAAATAAATTCCAATCGAAAATAAAGTATTCCACAGTATATTCAAATTCAGTATCATTTTCAGCTATAATTCTGCTTTCAACACTCTGTCATTTCACTTTTTCAGACTTTGGAAATATACACATTGGGATTAGACTTAGTCTCGAGACAGATTAGTTTCACATTGCTAATACCGTTGCACATGATTGTCGCCAAATTAGCATCAGTATTTGCCTGCGGCTCATAGTAACATAAAACTTGCGTCTGCTGACATCAACTTAAGAAAATATATCATGGGATTATATATATATATATTTTTTTTTTTTTTTTTTTTTTTTTTTTTGTGCCAGGCAACAGTTCCGAACATTGACTGTCTCTGTTGTCTCTCCTGACTTTTTTTTTTTATGTAAGTGCAAATTGCAAGTACTAGTGCTGACACATAGTGCATTTTTGCCACAGAAGTATTAGGTAATGTTTGGGACTACATGACAGGGCTGTGTGGCCATTTCTCTATCAAATGGCAATTTTTTAATGTACTATTCTGGCGTCAACCAGGCTCGGTCGAACACAAGCACCTGCGGACCTTAACAAGGTTCCTCCAAAGTGGCATTCGCTAGTGAATGAATCTCGGCTAGTGGCCTTCCTATTGAGTCTGTGGCACACTCGCCCAGGGTAGGGGTCGACCCTTTTCATGTTCAGTTAGGATTTGAACTTGTGTCTACTGGCCATGAGTCTGATGCGACAACCACTAGGCTACCGGTGACCGGTAAAATATGTATATTATGTTATTATGGGAACAATATCAAACATATCTGGCCTGA